TACAAGCCAAGAGCTATTCTCAGTAGGCAGGGTGGTTCAGTTCAAAGCTGCAGAGAAATGACAGTTTTGAAGCTTTATTGACAGAAAAGACAGCCAATCCATGAATCTTCTGTTTCCAGCCGTCAGCCACAAATGCATTTGGGTTGTGATGGAAAGCAATGAAAACCCACATGGATGTGAAGAAAAGAAGTTCTCTCAGAAAATTTGGAATAGGAAGGTAGATGTTCTGAAATAACAAACCTTGCAAAGAACCTGGCTTCAGCAACACATTGGCTTGGAGCAGACAATCACCATTCACAAATATTTGTGTAGGTGTTTTCTTGGCATGGTATTTATCTTTGAACAAGATATGCACTAAGACTATATACCATCAAGCTCTTTTGGTCCTCCTTTCACACTAAGGAGAGACTGTGCCTGTCTCTGTATACACACTAGTTTATTCCCAGGCTTTTACATGAGATAAATCAATTATTTATTTTGTCTGAGAAACCTGAGAGCAGAATAGCAGATAGCAGATACCACATATATGAGCCACTCCACTGTCTTCAGGGATGAGGGCTCTTTCCCTGACCCAAGGACAGTAAAACCAGGTTAGGCTTAACTGCATTTGTCTAGCAGTTAGAATTTTAACATGCTACTGATATGACAACCCGTAAACTCAGGGTATAAAGATCTTCACCTTGTCTTTCCACACAGACATGAGAACCAGGTGTAACCAGGGTGACATCTGAAAGCCACCTGGCTCTCAGGAGCTTGACTGTTTGCTCAGAAACAAGAAATAAAAATTACCCCAAAACCCAAATAGGTTTATACAAAATAGGTTTGTCCCAAATAAGATTGCTCCCAAATAGGATTGCTTTCATAGGAGTCAGAGTTGGCTCAATGAGAAAACTCTCAGGTAACCATCAGGCCTGTCTGGATTTTCAAAAATCTCTTACATTACAAAATTTGTTACATTACAGATTTTGTATGTGTCAGACCACAAACCCATTCTACATATATGTATTTAAAGCCTGGAAGATTGTGCTCCTTGGAAAACCTTGCTGTTCAACCTCCCTCACTGTAAACTATTTTTAATACCTCTGGGGGGTGTTGGGGGGGGGGGGGGGTGTATTTATCATTGCATTAGAGGCATAAGTGTCTTATGTCGTGTAACTTAAGTGTTATTATCTCTCTCAAAATAAAAAGCAACCAAAAAAACATAATCCTAAGCAGCTACCATGTAAATACAAACTAACCACTCGTTAATCACTGTTGTCAACACCCACAATAAGCAATTATTTTCTTACATGAAGTAGAGACTTCCCATATTCTAACTGTTGTTCATTGCCTCTTCTCTTTCTGCTACACACCTCTAAGACCAGTTTGGATCTTTTTTCGACCCTCACATTTGGTACTTGTAGGCAGCAGTTCCTAGCCCAACCGTTTATCTAAAAGGCCAATTAAAATTCTGGTTAAGTCAAACCTTCTTCATCACCCTCTCTCACCAATGAAATAAATCTTCCAAACTATGTATTTCAGCCCATCCCTGTGACTATTTTTCTTCACTTTGCACAGGCCTCCAAAACTGACAAAAATTTCCAGAAGGTAAAGCTTTGATGTTGATACATTCCTTTTTATATGCCAAAAGGGCACTTTCTTGTAGACCAGCTGCTGTTAGTCTTTCCTATAAAATACACCATAAACAAGCTGATCTAGACAGTTTAGCACATTACAATTTTAGGTGCTGGGCAACAGCTCAAGTTAAGAATTAAACAGAGAACCCTAAGGCAGTCAGATAATATTTGTCATAATAAACATAATATTTGTCATTTAATGCTGCAAGATGCCCAAGGTAATAAGGAAACTCACAGGATCTCCTCAGGTTTGGTTTTGGGTTTTTTTTCCCCACCATTTCCCTATATTAAGTTCAGATTTCATATTTACATACTGTACCTATTCATCTCTGCCACAGCAGACCCTAAGTTCCAGCCACACATTTTGCAGGCTCCTTGGCGTCACCTGCTGTTATTACCGTTTTAGATTCCATGCAACGCTGCACTGATTTCTAAAACATGAAGGCACCCGAAGTCCAGAGAATTCTTTTGATCTTTTCAAACAACTAAAAGTGTTATCACTGTTGCCACTTAGTATCATTGCAATACAAACTCAATATGAGTGAACAGTGTGCAGCTGCAGCAAAGAAAGCCAACAGGATGCTCGGTTACCTCAACAAGAGCATCACCAGCAGAGATATAGATGTTATTGTCCCATCTAGTCAGTGCTTATCAGGCCACACTTGGAAGATTGCGTTCAGTTTTGGTCCCCAATGTACAAAAAAATATGTGGACAGGCTGGAGAGGGTCCATAAAGATATAACCCTCACAGTTAGTCTGAAATACCTTTTACAGAAGTAGGCAAAATCAATCACAGAGGAAAAAAAAAAAAAACAGCAAATTTCACACCTACATCAAATGGTATAAGTGTTACACATAAATTCTAAGGAGACCCAAGCTAATTAGACACTAACATACCTGTTCTTTCACACAGTGGCTCTAGAAGTTAATAAAATGATGCTTGCAGCTGCAGTAGCTGGCTGTCTCCTGTTGCCTCAATTCTTAAACAGTATTTATTCCCATTGCTCATCTGCATAATTTTAATCCTCTATTACACTCACTAATGTAATTTTTGTACATTTGCTATCATATTCTGGGTTTTAATAAACTGGTCTTCTCAAGCCTCTCATCATGTTTCTTTATTCCCTGAACCTACCATAAATCCTGCAATGCCAAGCAATTTGCTTCTACAATCCTCCTCAAGCAGCTTCATTAAAACCTCAATCTGTGGAACTAACATTACCAGTGTTAAACTAAAATCTTCACACATGGAGATCCTTGCACTGATCCTACTGAGAATCCCACTAAATCCAAACCACGTCAGGAATTTGTACACAGCCATTCTTTTGATTTCAAACAAGATCTATCAAAGTCTTTGATGTCATCCTCTAGGTCAATGCCAAAAATCACTGTTTGTGCCTGGTTCCTTCACAACACAGTTCTATACAGGTCTGAACACAGGCTGTAGAAATGCCTTAATAAAGTTTTTAACAGCACGATTCCACACTATCAATTTATGCATTTCTTCCTGTTAATAAATGGACAGAATTACTGGCACCATAAACCAGAAATGATGCAAAAAAAGAGGTCTACTAAAATGTTCTAAGCATGGGCAACAACCTAGCTCTTAAAAATGAGGAAGCCAGAATCTTTTTTCCCCCTCCCCAAAGCCATCTTTCAGGATTAGATGAAAACCTCCATACAATATCCCAAAATCTATTTGCACATAACATTTGAGAAGAGGACCATGTCAAGAGCGGGGTGAACACATCTAAAGCCTGAATTTTCCACAGAATGTCACAAGGGCATACACCACAGCCACCTTTAGCTTTCCTTCTGCATAGAGTTATGACTTGGCTATCTAAGCAGCAACATTGAAAGAACATCTGTGAGGCCTGGACAGTCCCAAAAGCTAGATGTCTTACTGCTGCCAGAATATCTGACATTAACTCCATGGTTTAAAAGAGCGAACATTCCACATTTTCTGCTTTTAGAAAGCCCTATTTTCTCTGCACCCAGAATTGAACACGAAAACCTCTGCAGGGCACCTAAGAGCCACATGAAATCTCCCCTGCACCCACAAAGGCCACAGCCACACACAAAGACTATGCAAATGCAAAAAAATTGGCCACCACACGTCACTGCAGCCTGATAAAGTCAAGCACACCCCTGCTCTCACATGTGCTGTGAGTGAACATTCCCATCTGCCTCCATTGCTTACTCACAGCCTGTGTGAATGTATATTCTTTATTCCACAGCTCCACAGTTGAGGAAGGGCCCATTGCTTTAGCTTTTTCCTCTCACCCTCTCCTGGGTTCAGCAGTAGCAGTCATTTTTCTCCTTCTTAGTAACTGGTGCAGTGCTGTGTTTTTGACTTTCAACCTGGGAACAGCACTGAAAACACCGATGTTTTTAGCTGCTGCTCAGTAATGTTTAGGCTGACCAAGGACTTTGTGAGCCTCATGCTCTGCCAGGGAGGAGGGGAAGCCAGGAGGAAGCAGAGACAGGACACCTGACCCAAACTGACCAAAGAGGTATTCCATACCACAGCACGTCATGCCCACTGTATAAACTGGAGGCAGTTACCGGGACAGGCTAGATCACTGCTTGGGTGGGGCTGGGTACCAGTCGGCAGGTGCTGAGCACTTGTATTCTTTTGTTATTTCCCTTATCATTATTATTATTGGTGGCAGCAGCAGTGGTTTGTGTTACACCTTACTTACTGCACTGTTCTTATCTCAACCCATGGGAGTTCCATTCTTTCGATTCTCCTCCTCATTCCTCTGGGAGCCAGGGGAGGAAGGGGGAGAGTGAGCGAGCGGCTGAGTGGATCTGGGTTACCAGCTGGGCTTAAGCCACGACACACCCCACCTGCACTAAGCACCCCACAGCTGATAAAAACCCAGTAGAGGGAAATGGAAATAAAATGATAAAGCTGCAAAAGCACGGGGAGCCAAGGAGCGCATGTCTGCTGCGTGCTTTCCAGCACATTTACCTCAGGAATAGCGTCCCAGGTGAAAAGGACCAAGGACAATGTGAAAGCAAACCACATTGCAAAGGCTATTTCCCGCCCTTTTTGAGTCAGAAAGGCACGGCTGGCTTTAACGAATGAATTCAGTGAGGACGAAGGCGGCACCTCGGCTACCCGGCCCTCACAGAGCCCTCGGGCTCGAGACACCGCCCCTTCCCACTGCACGGCCTCAGCCAATCAGCGCAAAGATGACAGCCACAGGCTTCGGTTTGTTTTCCTTTAAGCCCGCCTCTGCCTCGCTGCTCGCCAATCAGAATGCACCATCGTGAAGCCGTTGGGAGGGCTTTCCATGCATCCGGTGCGCAACAGTTTTCCATTGGAGAAAGGCGGGCAAGGGCTCAGCCAATGAGACAGCGAAGCCAGAGGGCGGGGACAATTCAAACCGGTAGCTGCCCAGGAGCGACGCCATGGTGAAGCAGGTGAGGGCTGCGGCCATGGCTATGGCCGGGCCGGGATCCCCCAGCGCTGCCTCAGCCGAGGGGAGAGCCTCGGCCCTCAGGTGAACTCCTCCCTCTCCTCCAGCCACAGGCCTGCGCAATGTTGGTGGGTGACTTTGATTCCTCTGATGAAGACGATGCTGAGGACACGAAGCCGTTCCTTATTTCCTGGTGAGACGTACCCTGAGGCGGGGGCCGGTGTCTTTTCCCTCAGAAGCTCCACAGGAGTTAGCGTTAAATCCCTGTCTTGCAAAACGGAAAGACTTTTACCTGAAGGAAACCGCTGCTCGGCTCTGGTGCCCTGTCAGAGCAAGGACGGAGGTCTTAGTTGCCAGGATAGTGCCCCTGACAAGGGATTAAGTTGGTGCTGCTGCAGAGAAACAAACAGAAATAGCAGCCTTTCAGTACCTAAAGGGTGCCTGCCAGAAAGCTCGAGAGAGGCTTTTGCCAGGGGCATTTGGTGATAGGACAAGGGAGAATGGCTTTAAACTGACAGAGGGCAGATTTAGATTAAATATTAGGAAGAAGTTCTTCCCTGTGAGGGTGCTGAGGCGCTGGCACAGGTTGCCCAGAGAAGCTGTGGCTGCCCCATCCCTGGCAGTGTTCAAGGCCAGGTTGGACGGGGCTTGGAGCAACCTGGTCTGGTGGAAGGCCCCCCTGTCACAGGCAGGGGGGCTGGAACTGGGTGAGCTTGAACGTCCCTTCCAACCCAGACCATTCTGTGATTCTATGATGTGGGGCCAGCTCCACTTTTGGAAGTGTTTGCTAGTCACTGTCAGTCTATGTACCTGCCTATATAGGCAGGTATTTCTATTCAAATAATAAAACGATCTCTTCTAATTTTTATCTTATTTCCTGACAGGTTGTCTTTGCCTCCTGTCTGCTCTTCTGAGTTCCTGGGATTATGTTCCCTTCCAGGTAAGAAGCATTCACTAAAATTTGCAGGCCTATATGAAGCTGAAGAGAGGCAATAACTTGTACCCCACAGTTCTGTGTTGCATTTACTGGATGCGGTGACTTGCTTTGTAATCTACCACTGGAATAATTGTTTCAGAAATACTAAAGCTAATTTAGATGAAAGATCATACGGCAGAGTGGTAAGAGAATAGTGAAGAGGGAGAATTTTTAATGTGATTTGTGCTGAGTATTACAGAACAGGAAACTTACTTTCCTATCAGTCAACTAGACAATCTTAAGTGATCTCTATCCAGCCATTTTTCTTTTTTTTTTTTTGTTTGTGTTTTGTGAGGCTTTTGTATTTTATTTTATTTTCATAATTGTACCTAGATTTATAACATTCTAAACTTTTTATCTGGAAAATGCATAGCAGCTTAAAACCTTGGACAGATGTTTTCAATCTTATCACATTACAGTATTAAGCAGATAATGGTGCTTAAACTGACTTCTGCACTAGTGATCTATTTGCAAAAACAAGAACTGTGTTTTACTTGGAGTGTGGCTTTGTTCTTTCGTTTGGGGGGGAGGTTATGTGTGCTCTATTCTTCATCTGTTGTGGCCATTCCATAAATGTCACTTAGCCGCAGTGGTAATTGTCACTCATCATTTGTTTTAGGTTGCAGGTTTAAAGATATTAGAAGAAATCTTCAGAAAGATATAGGTGAGTCTTCTGGACAGTGTGTAAGTACCTCTCATTTCCATGTAACAGCAAGAAAGATGTACAGGTAAACTGAAAGCATAAGTTACTAGAGGCTTACTTTGTCTGGAGACTGCTGGAGTTGCTGTTCATCTAATCTGGGCATAAGGATCCAGACACCTGGTATCTAAACCAGTGGTGTTTTCCTGATGCTTTTACAGTGGTTGCTATAGTTGTCTACGTACATGCCACGATATTGCATGAATGCAAGGTAGTTATTTACAAAGTCTTGCTGGGGGTATGTCCAACAGCAATGTCTGTCTGAGTTTTAGTAACACTGCTTGAAGATACAGCAAATATGTTAGCACAGTCACTTATGAGTACTAGACATAATTTTAAAGTGTGCAGTGCCACTTTTTCTGTGGCTTCTCTACCAAATATTGAATAGTCAGGGTGTTTCCAGGCTGGAGCTGAAAGACATCTCTGTATCTTTCACAGTAACCATGAGGTCTGCTAAGTCATGTGCAGGAGACAGCATTTTCAAAGCATATAGGGTCAAGATGAATTACAAACTTGTAATCTCTTCTTCCCAGAGAAAAGTGAGATTGGGACTGAAAAGATGGAATTATGCAAAGATTTGTGCTGGATATTCATCTATAGACACTAGAAGAGCAGAAAGTAATAACAAAACAAAAATAGCAGCCCTCTAATACCTAAAAAGGGCTTATAAGAAAGCTGAAGAGGGACTTTTGACAAAGGCATGTAGTGATAGGACAAGGGGGAATTGCTTTAACCTGACAGAGGGGAGATTTAGATTAGATATTAGGAAGTTCTTCACTATGAGGGTGATGAGGTGCTGCACAGGTTGCCCAGAGAAACTGTGGCTGCCCATCCCTGGCAGTGTTCAAGGCCAGGTTGGATGGGCCTTGGAGCAACCTGGTCTAATGGAAGGCATCCCTGCCTGCAGCAGAGGGTTGGAGCTGGGTGATTTTAAAGTCCCTTCCAACCCAAACCATTCTGTGATTCTAAGATTCAAAACCACCATAGTGTTTGGACACAGCCACAGCTGGAGACAAGACAGAATAATGCTTAAGCTAGCAGCAGTAACAGACTGTTCCAAATGGCAACATGCCTTCTAGTTAGGCTTGTCTCAAGACTCACTCTGAACTGAGAAAATGCCTCTCATGGCTTACCTGAAAGCAAATGTGGGAGAGACTCAGTAGAAGTAAATGCTGCTCAAAGCAAAGTTGCTGACTTCTGTTGGCTTAACCTCAAAGATTAAGCAAGAGAATCAGTACCAAGTAGCTTATCTGTTTATCCTTGAACTTGACAAGCATTGGTTTATTTGCAAGTATCTTAATCTGTTTGCAGAAGAACTAAAGAGCTGTGGTACCCAGGATATATTTGTGCTCTGTACCAGAGGAGAGCTCTTAAAATATCGAGTACCAAACCTAATAGATGCCTACCAACAGCATGGGATCTGTGTGCACCACTATCCTATTCCTGATGGGGATGCTCCTGACATTGCAAAGTGCTGCAAAATCCTGGAAGAGCTCAGAAGCTGCCTGGAAAGTAACAGGAAAACAATCATACAGTAGGTTCTGGTTGCCTCTCTTTCACACCATGTTCTGTAAAAGATAACCAGCTTCTCTGTAGATGTGTGACCAGCTGAAACAGAATCCTCTCAAACAGTTGTATTCTTTAGGGTTAGTTCAAGCTGTGGAAAAACCGCTTGTTTCTTCTTGTGCACCTTTTTGAGCTATTTTGTCATTTGAAAGATTTGAATCTCTCCTTTCCCCTTAACTCTGTCCAGCAAGCCCTTCAACGTGTGTGTTGGATGGCACCATGTTTCTCATTGCTGCTAGCCTAGCTGGATGCGAGTTGGATACAATATGAGTTGTAAACTAAAGCAGCTGTTTCAGAGGATACCACACCCCTGAGCTATTTAACAGGGACTCTTAAGGGTTCCAGCAGTGCAAAATTCACTCTTAAATTGCATGACACTCATGTAAAGTTATTTCTTTGGACACCTGTAGCTGAAGTAGAGGGGAAGAGCTTTCCAAGTTCTGTGCATGACTCTGCTGACAGCTCTCACACATATATCAATGGAGTCCTTGGGCTCCCTGCTGATGCAGAACCCTGCTCACAGCTATCATCCAAGCTTTAAAGTGGAGCAGGAAAGAAAGAAAATTGAGGGTGTCCATCTTCATGCTGTTTTGTGGCTTCCTGTGCCACTGAGACTATCCCCATCAACGAAGGGGAATGTTAAAACCATGGTTTCTCTAGAAAAATGCTACTTAAGGAAGGTCTGAAGAATAAATGGAGATAGGCTTGTAGGTATTTCTGTAGACATTCCTATTCTGACTTTGTTGCACCACTGCTCCTCTTGATTATATTGAGACAAGAATTATCTATGAATTATGGGGGCTCTGTGTGTTGCAGTGTACTACTTGTTACAACCAAATGTCTTCTTCTCTTTCAGCTGTTATGGTGGCCTTGGACGCTCATGTCTCAGTAAGCAGTTGTTTTCCCCTTCTCAGTGCCTGACTAACCCATCTTACAAACTCATTCTTGTGAGACAGCTCTGTCTAAAGTAGCCAAATTCTGCTTGAAGCTTTCCTGTGGTTACATTGAAAACTGTGGCTACAGGTAGCGAGCTAGTTAATATATTTGGGCTCATTTTTTGTGAAAGGTACTATCAAATGGTAGTAACATTAGCTGCCTGTATAGAAACCCTTGGGGATGAGTGACATAAGTATTTCATGCTATAGACCTGAGTTTGTAGCTGAGGAGGGTCAGGCAGGGTCAGTCTTTCAGTGAGGCTGATGGGAAGTTCTCTCATATTTTCTGACTCTCCATTTTTTCTGCAAATTTTACTGTTCTCTGACTGATGGGATTGCACTTTTCCCTGAACTTTTCTTCAAGAAAAGGAGGTGACCCTATTCCTCTGCATCTTTCCTCAGTGCAATGTTTCCCCTAAAGTTTTCAGGGTCATCAGTTCAGCAAATGTGATCAGAAGACACAAAGGGGAATTAACTGTGTATACTGTGATTGTTGAAGGGCTTAGGATTTGCATCCCAAATGCTGCAGGGGGGAAACAGTGGAAGGGTTTTCACCAATTTCCTGTAGGCTTAGGCAGGAGCAGCAAGTGAACAAGGCCAGTGTCAAGAAACAGCATTCAGCAAAAGATCCAACAGATCTGTGACCCTGTTGTGACAAAGTTGAGTTTTTCTGGAGTGGTTTTCATGAAACAAGCCATGCAGAAGTGATGCAGTGCACAGTGGGAGGTGCTCAGCAGCATGTGTGTGTCTGTACCTTTCTCTTACAGTAGCTGCATGTCTCCTGCTTCAGCTTTCGGATGCTCTGGCACCTCAGCAAGTGATTGACAGCCTCAGAAACCTGAGAGGATCTGGGGCGATACAGACCATCAAGGTAATGAAGCTAGAGCAGGCAATGCATGTGCTGAAATGAGAGTGGAGAACTTGCACAGTCCTTTCCTTCACAAAGGGATCCCTCTGTTTGAGAGACTCCACAGCTGATGCCCCTGCTGCTGCCCAGGGTTCAGCTACTTCTAGCTTTCTACTTCCATGCTGATTCTGTTTTGGTCTGGCCCTGCTGAATTCACCAGCTGTTCTGCCTGTCTGCTCTTCATCATTAGTAAGTTTCTGCTTTCTTCTTACCCCTGCTCATAACTCAACTATTCTCTCTTTCTCTGTTGCTCACATTCTACTCACAACTTGGACACCTGCTTGATTTTTCTGCCTTGGTTTTGTTCCATTCTCCTAACCCAGCCATGTTCATCTCTTGTAGCTATCACATCAACCTACTGGCAGGTTTTTTAAAGAAGTATCCCTAGCATTAGTGGTGAAACCTACATGGACAGAGGCCTAAGTTACTGAGCATAATGGGTTTTACTACTTTATATATTTTCTGTCGATAGGAGTCCTAGAGGTAATGCTCTTAACATAGTTCTGTGTGCAGGAAAGAGGATCTGACGTTTTAGGAGTTTACAAGATAGTAGTTTCTGAAGAGAAAGACTTGCCTAAAGACTGTCTCTGTTAGCTCTAAGCCTTTCTGGAAGGCAGGTCTTGTTTAAACTACTCATTGAAAACCATTTTTCCACAACCCAAGAGGCAGGTGGGGAGCAGCTTGTGTCCTTGACTGAAGAGAAACCCTCACAGACACTTGGGTCAGATGATCTGTCCTTCAGCTTCTGCTAAGCAGTGGTTTTATTTCACTTTGAACTCGTAACTTTTTTGAGCATATGATGTATGAGTTGACCTAAGAACTCTTACTACAAACTGTTGTACGTGATACTTAGCTGTGTTCCACATCAAGGACTCGTTATGGAAAGACTAATATTCTTGGTGACCCAATTAAAGGAGCTTTGAATTCTGACATAAAACTCCCACCTATGAGGCCATGGTTTGTGTCACCTTGAGCTCATGTGTAGCCTTTATGAGGAACCACAGGATCCAAGCCAAGATCCATGTAACTTCTGTCTGATGGTGAAAAATCACAGAGTATTTGGAGTCAGCACAAGAAGAAAAAATAAATGGACTAGAGGGTGCAGTTTTCATCCTGGGATATCAAAAAGCTTTTTAAGATGGGTACTGCCTCTTCTGAGCACTCAACTGCAAATCTGGTTGTGCTTTTTCAGCAATACAATTACCTCCATGACTTCCGAGAGAACCTGGCTGCACACCTGGTGACAAAGAATACAACACCGAGATCGGTGTCGCGATAACTAATACCAACACGGTATGTCTTTGTGTCTACATGGCTGCAGCAGGGAGACACTTGGGCAAGACACCTCGCTCCTGACCTTTACAGTTTCCTCATTGGTACTGCATGTATGACACAGCTGCTTGCTTCCAAATCAGCATCTTTCTCTATTTGGTAGCTTTTAATATGCATGGCCTTAAAAACACATGGGAGTGTACTTGTGTACTTGTGTTCATTGCTGTTCTGAGGGTGGCCTACATGCTTCATCTCATGCACTTCTTTGGAATATTATAATGACTTTTGCACAATGTCTTCACTTTTACCATCACTTGGTACCAGCCACACACATCTGCTGCCATTGAACCGGTACACTGATATTTTCATATTGAGGTCCAAAGGGGTGCTTCCAAAGGGTGTACTTTCTAAGCAGAAGAGAGGGTAGGCTGGCAAAGTAGCAACTACATTTCAGTTTGATTTACATCTCCACTTCATATACTGTGAGAATTGGGAGAAGCTATTGGATGTGAAGGTAGGATCTGTGAGAAAACAGAATAGCCTGTAACTCCTCACAGCTATATGCAGACTTCTGGTGCCGATAGGCTGGCTTTTACTGCAGTGTGTCAGGGAGGGAAAAGGAGAGGAAGTGAAGGGTTACTCCTCAGCTGCCTTTGTAAGTGTGTCATGCTGGGGTAATATAGCTAGATAAACATTACACTGGGACTGTTTAAAAAAAAAATAAAATCCCTTGGCTGTAGCTTTAAACTGAATGAGAGTCAAGTATGAGAAGCTTCCTGCTGGAGTGCTTGCTCCTCTCAACTAGTAAGAGCTCATTCTGAAACATTACAGTTCTGCTCTTGGTGTGTTCAGTGCGACTTAGGAATGAGACCCCTCATTCCCAAAGGAGGTTTTGTACTGAAGAGCTGTGACAAACCAAGCAGGTGGGGTTTTACATGAATGTGGTAGGAAGAGCTGCTGCCCTGTAGCTGTGTGAGTGAGTTTCTGGTACAGCATTTCTGCATACTAATGCTAGAGAAAGTAAATAAACAGCTGTAGGCTGAAGAGAGCTTCACAGCAAGATTCCTGTAATGGTCCACATCCCTTCTCTTTAACTATCTCCACTTGTAAAGATCAGGGAAGATGAACAGGCTCCTGAACAAAGCATTTAAATTAGTTGTGTTCCATCCTGAGGAAGCAACAAGCATCTGGGTATCCTGTGACGCCCTATGAGGTAAGTTTTGGCTCCAGGAAACACACTGTCTTCCGTTATTAGACAAACAAGCGATGTCAAGGAACTGTTGCCCATTGGCTGGTCACTTTGTGGCTGCTGTCAGTCATGTGTCAGCATCCCGACTGTCCTCCTATCTCCTGTTTCCCTGCAGTTAATTTTAAGTGCCTTTTTCCTTGCTGAGTGCTTCAGGAAACAGCTGGTTACCTGCCCCACACCAGCACCTTCCTGTGCTCCCCAAACCTGCAGCCAGCACTTCCCTATAGCCACAGCAACTCAAGCATTCACAAGTCATTTTGATGAAGTTTTGGTAACTCCAAGTCAGAAGTTGTGCCATGAGACTCTGACACATCAGTGGTGGCTGTGAGTTGAAGTAGGTCTTGCAGCTTTGTGAGTTTTAAAATTCACTGCTCTCCATTAACACATTGTTTGAACCCAGACACTTGAACACACACTTAAAGGCGATTTCTACAGATAGTATTTAATTAGCTTTTACTACCATTCCCTTCTCCACCCCTAAAGCAGACAACAGGAACTTGTACAGTTTTCACAGCATGGAATCACTTACAGAAAATACTTTGCTGTAAACGTGCATTGTTCCTTCCCCAACATTGCTCGCAGCACACAAACGGCAACATGGAAAAAGTGTCTGTGTTCCTTCCTCAGTGACTGATCCTTGCAACTGATGGTTTTCAGACAGTAGGTACCAGATGGCATTTTAAGACAGCTCAGCAGGAAACTTACTGAAAGGGAGAGAAATGTTCTTTATTTTCTTCATATCTTTCACCTCCTGGAGCTCCAAAGATCAATTATCATCAGGTCTGCAGTTTGGACACAAAACAGCTGGTACTCCAGCTGCACAGCACGTGTGGGTATCCACAGGTACCAGTGGCTTTGACAAGTGAGGCACCAGCTAGAGATGACCATGTTCATACCACCCAGCAGCTGGGGGATGCTGGTAGACACCATTTTTAAAGTGTACAGAAACCAGTTTCAAGACTGTTTTCTAAGGACCCCACCATCATGCTGTGTTCTCATAGCACTTTTTAACTCATATTTCTGACCTTTCCCTGTGATGTTTTGACACTTTAAAGACCTTTGAACTGAGATTAAATTCCTCAGTTCTGTGTTGAACCAAATGAGCATTTTGCTCCTGGGGTTAATGGTGATTTCAGGTTCACCAGCACAACTGTGCCACCAAACCACTGTGCCATTCCCACCTCTTGAATTCCCTTGTTCAGGAATACTCAGAGGTGCTTTTACATTAGATGTGGGAAGCCAGTCGTGCTGAAACAGAGCAAGTGTGGCAAGTACTTGGTTAAATATTCCTGGGCAAAGCCTCCACAGCTGGAGTGGGGGTTCAGAAGAAGCTATGAGCTGGATGCAGTACATCCTACATCTCTTACTCTGGAGGGTAACTTGCCTTACATCAGCCCAGTACGAAGGGAATGAGAGGCAGCTGAAGGTTTGTGAGCCAATCAGTCTCATTTCTATAACAGATTAATAAAGATCTGAACATAAGAAGGGATTAATGAGCTTTACTGCTGCCTTAGAGCAGTCTGAAGGAGCTAAAGCAACAGAATAAAAGTGATCCAGCAGGAACAATACTCCCAGGTTTCTAAAAAGCCTTTCAAAAAATCTTCTGCTGAAAGCTCAAAATTATGATTCATAAGGAATAAAACCCTCGTCAACTAACAACTGATAGAAGAGTATTTGGGAATGGGAGTTGAGGAGCCACAGAAAACACCAGCCCTGGCATTAACGCCTGTGACTGGCACAAACGTTTTGGGACAATCATGACAATAAAACTACACATTGTCACACTGAATGCTTGAGCAGGGATGGTGTGGGAAGTGAAGTGTCAATAAGTGCAACCAGGAAACACATGTGAGAAAAACAATTTTATATATGTTGTAATAAGGTGCCAGGTGTCTATTATTACTTGAGAATTTGCAGTTATCACAGCTTCAATTCTCATACCCCCAGTACATTATAGTAAGAGGAGAGGAATTCAGAAGCAGCAAGCAGGAAGTTGCATTGCAATTCCCTGGGCAGCCACACTTTGTGTGATGACAACAGCTTAGAAATGGAAAATCTGCAAAAAAAAGGAGTTAACAAAGCTGAAGGACTTCCAATAGAGGAGAGATTAAACGGGCTTCTCTGCTTGGACAGATGATGTAATGAAGGTGTATTCAATCATGCCCAGCATAAATAAGGTGGCAAGAGGGAAATTTTCAGTATGTTTTAAAAAAATAATAGCTATGTGGCACCAGACAAAGTGCAGCAGAACTTTTAAGCAGGTACTTTTTACATACAGAGTAATTCCACTGCAGAACTCACTGCCTGTCAGGGATCTTTCCATAGTGGGTTATGAAAGTGCTCAAAAAGCAACTGAATTAACGGAAGAAAAGCTGTTCAAGGGCTGTTGAAGATGCTCAACCTGTAGCTCAGGACATCTGTAACATATCCAAATACATTCACTACTCAGGCAGAGATACTCAGTACCTGCCCTGTTTCATATTCTTTTCCCTCTGTCATTGCTGCCGTCCAACACACCGGCACTGGAGTATCCAAATTTCTAGCTGAAGCCAGTGCAGCCGTTGTCCAGCTCTTACTGCATCCAACACCCAAGACACCCAAAGTGAACAAATACACAGTTTATACAAAAAAAGTTTTACTAAAACTGGGCACCTATTCATTATTCTCCAGCACAGGTAAACAAAACAGATTCCTAATTATTACTCCTAAATTCGGCTGTTCGCAGTCACAATTTACAATGCAGTATTATCAGTTTATCCGAAACATCTTTACCCCCACCCCATCTACCCATTTTTTTTTCTGCAGACCCAGAAAAAAAAAAAAAAAAAAAAAAAAAAAAAATCAGGAAAGCAGAGCTTCCCTTTTCCAGGCATAACTTGATTCAGTGTTCTGTTTTTAAAAGGTATGTAATTATCCATCATAAAACTAAGAGGTGAACACTGCAAGTAGCTGTTCTGCTCAAAACCAAACCAAGGCACCAGGTAAAAATAAGTGTTTTTGCATTTGAGAATCATTTTGTAATTATCATTATTTATTGCACTAAGGAACAGCAGGGCAGCTTCACAATCCCACTTTCTGCTTTGAAAAGGTCTGTAGCATTATTCAAGAGAAATTTCACAAGTGTCCTGGTTTCAGCTGGGATAGTTAATTTTCTTCCTAGTAGCTGGTGCAGTGCTGTGTTTGGGCTTTAGTCCGAGAACAATGCTGACAACACACCGATGTTTCAATTATTCCTTAGCATTTACCCCAATCAAGGACTTTTCAGTCTCATGCTCTGACACCGAGGAGGGGCACAAGAAGCCAGGAGGAAGCAGAGACAGGACACCTGACCCAAACTAGCCAAAGGGGTGTTCCATACTATAGCACGTCATGCCCAGTATAGAAACTGGGGGAGTCACCCGGAAGGGATCAATCACTACTCTGGTCAGGCTGAGCAATTACATTGTGCATCACTTGTGTTTTCTGACCTTATTGTTATTATTGTTGGTGTTCTTTCTATTATCACTATTTTTTATTTTAGTTATTGGATTGTTCTTATCTCAACCTGTGGGGGTTACAACTCTTTTGATTCTCCTCCCCATCCTGCTCAGAGGAGGGGGAAAGGTGGAGTGAGCGAGCAGCTGCCTGGTGCTGAGTTACTGGCTGGGTTAAAACCACAATGAAAAGTTACTCAGAGTAACTCAAGAGTATTTTCATCATTAGACTCAATAAATGTTGCAGATTTGTCCATCTGTTAATAAGACAGCACACACATTAACAAAAACAACCGTCATTTAAATTCATTCCTTTGTGGACAATTCAACTTCTATCACAATGACAGATACTCGAGATTAAAGCAAGCTTAACATTTGGAGAAAATACAGAACTCTCTGAACCATGCATATACAGGGAAAATTAACCAGATAGAAAACAAAACCCAAAATAAACCAAAATAGAACTCTTACTTTTGCAATTGTATCCATGAATTCATCTCCTAAGACTGACGTTGCCTACAGGTAAAGCACAGACAGCACTTCCAGTCCTCCCCAAGCCCTCAGCACCTACAGTTGATTTACAGTTAGAGTGGGATACGCAAGTCCAGATGAGCCACTACAAAGCCCAGCCTAAAGGAGACCCCTAGTGGGCTAAGGCTAGTCAGTAACCGATACCTATGTGGAGATTAGGGCTGTTCCTTGTGGAGTGCAAAGTCAAAACTTTTCAAACCCAGTAACCTTCGTATTAATTTACATACAATTCATTCATTTCAGTGTCCCAGTAAAATAAGAAAACAGTCTTTCCACAAGTATAAAATGTGGAAATGTTTTAAAAAGAGGGGTCATTGTTTTCTAAAGCAAATGCGATCGTCAGATTCCATATTTAATCTTGGTAAGAGGTTCTCGTTGTAAAGAATCCATGTTTTGTGGCTTTTGCATGCACTTAACTGGAAGGAAGCTTGCTGAATGCCTTCTTAAGAGCTCACCAGAACATAAATCATGCTGGAAAAGAAAAATATTACAATGCATCATTTTCATTAGTGTTATACATTTAATTCTACATATGTATCCTACATTCTAAGGCACAGACCTGTGAGAGGTACAGGGATTGCGACTGGAGGCTTTACACAGAACACATCAGAGGGGCATTATGAAGTACAACACAAGCCAATGCAACAGCCAATTGTAACTAGAGCAAGTGACACGCTAACAGGGAGCCTGTATAATCACAATGCTGTTGTGCCAAAAGCCTCAACTGTTGCAGCCATGTTGCAGGAAGCCCAGTGTGCCCAGAGGAAGGGCTGCACACTCGTTCTGTGTCACACCACCCTAGGGACAAGCTTTGGCTCAGAGGAAGAACTGGGAGGAAGAACCAGGCAGCAGCACTGGCTTTTGTGCCTCCCACCCCTGTTAACTCTCAGAATGACTCTTCTGCCTTTGACTTCAACAAAGATCATATTTACATCAATATAACTACTTATTCTATAAATATTCTTAATGAAAAAAGGGGGGATTATATTGTGCTAAAAGAAGAAGAAAAGCTTGGAGCTTTCCAGCCTCCAGTCATGGTATACATATTCAAAACAGTAATTCTGGCCAAGTTAAGACTTACATTTTAAAGCATAATAAATGGTGATTGTGGATTCTTTTTCAGGGAAGTTGGCACTACATATGTTCCTATATACAAAATCTTTCTTGTGCAATAAGACAAAATGTCAGATTGAAAATCAGATGGGAGACAGAGGAAAAACAAAACTTACCCATATAGGTAGTAAAAAAATGATAGAAGGTAGAATGCTAATTTGCACCATCCTTCTTTCTGGCAATAGGCTAATATATCTGCATTCATGATGGTTGTAGGATCATACAGACCAGGGCCACTCATCACAGGTCTACTCATGTATCTGAAAGCGAAGCACAGTTAATTTTGTGGTGATGGGAAACATTGGTTCCAGCCCACTCCCCAAGTAATAGCAGAATCAGGACAAGGAATCACACCCCCCAGAAAAGCCCATCAGCTCCATGTAACTGCAAGAGCGATACACAGCTCCCAACTGAACCTGCCTATGGAAGAGCTTTCACAGGCTCACCTCACTATGACAGCTCACCTCAGCCTTAAACCATGCTGAGCTCTGGTACACCAAAAGGAAGTAGGACAAATTTAGAAACAAATGAAAAACGGGATTCCTTATAAAAGCATTGGAGAAGCTGCAGAAGAGACCAACATACAACCCTGTGTAACCAACAGCCTGTCCTCATTAAAGAACACATGCTGGCTGCCATGCTGAAGGAATACTCACATGGACCAGTACAAGATGAGACTGAAAATGTAGTTTAACATAGGCTACTAGTGAAAGGAACAGTCCTACCTCCACCTCTCCAACCCCTCTTCTCACCAGGACTGGCACAGATAGAGCTGCACAGTGGAAGCTGTTTGGCTGGGTTACAAGTCACCCAGACCAGCTCCCTGCACAGGCCTAATACCAGCTAATACAGGGACATTATACCTAATACAGGGGAAGGCGGAGCCCACGTCTCAGTGGCAGGAGGACAGCGGGATTGCTGCTGCTGCCGGCAAGCCACAGTGTGAACCTGCAGCAGTGTATCCCTCTGACACGGCAGCTACCTCCAAGCACCCGCAACACAACTCCATTCTTGCATAGCATGAGAGAGTAAAACCCAAAAGTGACAACAGAGAAAGCAAAGTGATGGTTCTTATAGCCACGGCCTAAACTTCCTCAGTGCCCTATCAGAAAGCATCTTTATTTGCCAAAGACACAGAACACTGAAGAGGAAACACTGCAACAGGAGAATGAATAATAATGAACGTGAGTACAGATGCCAGACTCGTCAATATTACCTCCAAATATGATAAGCCAGCAAAGGCATATTGAGACCCAGCGTAAGCCACTCTGCTGCACAGAGAAACATAACACAGAAGAATGCATGGATGAGGTACTCTGGAAGTACAAGCTGGAAAAGAAAAATATGAGTTAGGAAGTCTCAATTACTCAAAGCAAAAAGCATGGGGCTTAATCTATTAAAATATTACTCAAAAACAATGCTAACAAGATTGCAGAAAGTGAAAACAACAACCAGCAGTGTGTGCCCTGCTGTTTTCACGTGGTAATTCATGAACCATGAAGAAAAATTTACAAAACTAAACGCTCAGACCAATTGTTTTGATTCCTTCTATTAATTTAGGTGCACCACTAACAGGTTCTGTGCTTTGTACGTGACCTTCGCAACAGAAGAGATCATAGAGATATTTCTGCTCATGCAACAGTGAGATATCAGTAGGAAACATGCTCCGTAGAACAGTTCATAGGCAAAAAGATGTTTTGTTTTTCCCTGTTTTGCAGCTTTGCTTTGGTACTCACTCAAACATCACTTTCCAAAATCAAACTACTGCCGGGATGTAGCCCCCCAGGCAGAGCTTCACACACCAGAGCAGTGGTAACAGTGCCTACGGCGCACAAGGAGGGCGCGACAGCAGCCACACACATGGTTTGTTGACCAGTTTCGTTTTCCTTCCCCAGTGTGCATGCTCTCCAGCATCATGCTTCCCAGCAGAAGCCCACAGAGCTAACTGTCAGTTTACTATGAAATCACGGGAAGCGTGAAATGCTGAGTAGTATTAGTGCTATTAATAGGAATCATATGGAGAGATACAAAGATTAAACGCATGCACATAGCCAGCAGAAGCCCACACCCACCACAAGAGTAAGCTCTTCTAAAACAAGTCACCCCAGAGTGACACGGGTTACTCCTTTACCATGTAGCTCAGAAAGGAGGAAATCTGTACACTTCTGACTTCTCAACTCAGGACACTAAAACATCTCCTCATGAAAAATAGAATCAGAATAGTTATGGTTGGAAAGGACCTTAAGATCATCAAGTTCCAATCCCCTGCCACAGGCAGGGACACCTCACACTAAACCGTGTCTCCCAAGGCTCTGTTCAACCTGGCCTTGAACACTGCCAGGGATGAAGCATTCACCACTTCTTTTGGCAACCCATTCCAGTGCCTCACCACCCTTACAGTAAAGAACTTCTTCCTTATATCCAATCTAAACTTCCCCTGTTTAAGTTTTAACGCATTACCCCTTGTCCTATCACTACAGTCCCTAAAGAAGAGTCCCTCCCCAGCATCCTTAAGGTACTGGAAGGCTGCTATGAGGTCTCCACGCAGCCTTCTCTTCTCCAGGCTGAAAAGCCCCAACTTTCTCAGCCTGTCTTCATACGGGAGGTGCTCCAGTCCCCTGGTCATCCTCGTGGCCCTCCTCTGGACTTGTTCCAACAGCTCCATGTCCTTTTCATGTTGAGGACACCAGAACTCCACTTCTACCCAAAGACTTTAATTGTCTACATGTGTGCACACACACACAAACATTCTGCCCCTTTGTGTGTGATATGACCCACAACACACAGGATAGCTGCACTGAAGTTTCAGTGGTTTAACAGTTTGCTCATTCTCTCAGTCTGCTTTAAACCCCCCAAAATATCTTCATAGACATCTAAAACCTACCATCAGATATTCTCGCGTTGCTGCTACAACATTCTGCTTCTCTAAATGAAGAATACCACATAGAGCAAACTTGAATCAACATCAACAGAAAGAAGCTGTCACACAGGAAACGTTTCAAGTAAATATTTTCACCCAGATCCTTCTTTGTATACTCACCATTTACAACTTGGCATTTACATATCCAAAACACAATGCACTTGGCAGCCTGCTGAGGCAGATTTACCAGGTCGGAAAATCTGTAGTTTATTTTAACTACACATCTCAAAACAGGTTTTTTCTTTCTCTTGTTTATTAGAGCCTACTCCCACACCACAATACCTGTCTCTCAAACCCACTGCACCTGATCCTCCCTGGCTAGTTAACTACGCGAAATTCCACCATGATATTTATTTCAGAAGCGAGGGAGGAAGAAATCTCCTTTCTGAGAAGCGACACGACTACAACCAGAGCAGGGAAGAGACGGCATCAGCACCGTACTGAGCAGTTACTATTTTGAGCTAATCTTTCCGCCGAGGCGCCTCCATTCCTACCAGGATTTTTGATTCTTTGCAGAGGCAAACAACACTTCAGTGTGTTTGTCCAGCACCATTTACTGGATCCCGAGAGTCTGAAACTTAACTTCACTTTTAGTGGCTACTCTACTTTCACAAGAACAGCAAATATGAAGTTATTTAGTATTTTCAGTTCACAAAGCTATCAGATAAATAAACACTACATGCACGTGGGTTAACAGAAGGTTAATATTTGCTTTAAACATGCAATTATAATACTTCAGAGGTAGCGATAAGATCATAATGCATAAATGTAATGAGAATTTGCCTTTCCCCATACTGTAGCAGGGATGACCGTAGAACAGACCAAGCAAGGGAAACTGTTAGATGCACAGCCATCGAGCGGCAAACCTCACTCTCCTAGATGCAATCCTCTGCCTGCCACCTCTTCTCCTCCCCACCCATTCTCATGCTGCAATACTCACTGGCAATTGATGTGCTATACGTTTAACACTTGGGTTTTCTGCCCCCAATTACTGCAAATTCATTTTTCATTTGCATAATTTACTTCAACTCTTCAGAACACAACCCAGGCCACACTGCTGTGCTGTCCCTATATTCTACCTCAGCCCGGGCACACCAAGCTGAAGTAAAACCCATGAGGAATGTACAAAAACCCAGCTGTATCAAACAATATGCTCTTTAACAAGCATCCCTCTTATTATCAGCCTGTTACAGACGTAAGCAGGCAGTTTGCCTCAAATTCTTTTCATAAACCAAGGAGTGTCAGGAGTTGCATCCAAGAGAGGACAACACCAAGATACACCCCTGATCCTGGAATGGAAAACAAAGAAGTGAAGATAACACCTACCAGGCTGCATCCCCTAAATCCTCTGAGATCAGAATATATTTGGGCAATGCTTAAAAAACCAAATAGTCTCCTATAATCTCAGAGATCAGTAGTCTTGGAAAACACTAGTTATGTCTATCTGAAGTTACTTCAACTGACCAAGAGGATATCTAACAGGCATGTAACAGTTTTCCCCACTTCACTGGGTAAGCAAGCAAATCATTTTGCACAAAATATGGAAATCCATGGAGTTGTTATAAACCCCAACAAACAAAGAGTGAGCAGATGAACAGGCACACTAAACAAAACAGCTTAATAGTATTACAAACGTTCCTAACAAAATGAAAGGGAAGTGGCATTAAGAACATTAAACTGAAAAGCAGTACACACCTTTAATGCAATTTTGACTCTTTTAATCTTTTTGACCTTTTCAACTGTCTTTGTGCCGAAAACGTAGAAAGCAGATTGAAAGAATGTTAGTACGACAGCTGACAAGATCGCCAGCAGATTAACAACAGTCAGAATATTCAACTTGAAAGTAAAGAATCAGACAAAGAAGTTTCCATAGAACTTCTATCAAACAGCCAGGTTTTGTCAACCCAGGTGCAATTCTATTGCCTAGTTTGATTACATCAAACACCAAAACCAACACTTGCATATATTTATTAACGAAAACCCCAAATTTATAGCATGCTACTCACAGGATTGAGTGTATTACATTGGTCTATTGGATTCTTGTAATCAGTCTTCAGTTCATCAAATGCTATAATCTAGAAAAAAGTAACAATGAAACAGTTGTGATTCTTCAGTCCAGGAGCAACAATGAGTTTTAACCATGAAAAAGTAATGTTTTGGCACAGAGCGGTAACATCCACCCAGAACACTGCTTCTGCCAAGTTCTAACTTTGTAAATGTGCAGGTCAGACACGTTTAAAACTGGTTATACAAATGAGAAAGCAGAAGACACTTCAGGCGTTCAAAGACCTCTGCCCACACCCCACTTTCCTGCCTCCCACCAGCAAGGAATTCCCAACATCCCTCCCAGCAGTTCCTAACCCCACTCCCCGCGCACAGACCCACTCCATGTGCTCACCCCAAACATCACCAGTGACTCTCCTGGTGACCTGGCACGGGGGTCCTGAACCAAGAAAAGTCAGCAGCAATCTTAACAGCAGACGGTTTGTCTTACTGTCAAAGTAAACGCTGACTCCACATATATGTCCAAAAGGTGCATCCATAAAGAAATCACACAGACTCAAGCTTTTCATGTCATAAAAATGAGACAAAGGTGCGGCATGAAACACAGCAAGAGCCACTCTATAGAACACATGTCTTGCCAGGCATTATGACCTCTTCTAGAGAAATATCTCACCGCTGACCCTAGGTAGGTTCCTATTCGCTCAGCTCTCAAAAATTAAGTCTCAGTATAAAGCACAGAAAAAATACATCACACAACACAGAATTCATTATTTTTGTTAAATAAGCAGCCAGACTGACTTCAGACTGACATCTTCATAAGAATCACGGAATGGTTTGGGTTGGAAGGGACCTTAAAGCTCATCCAGTTCCAACCCCCTGCCACGGGCAAGGACACCTTCCACTAGACCAGGTTGCTCCAAGCCCTATTCAACCTGGCCCTGAATATTGCCAAGGATGGGGCAGCCACAGTTTCTCTGGGCACCCTGTGCCAGGGCCTCGGCACCCTCACAGGGAATCTAAATACACTATTTTAAAAAGGCTGCTTGCATTAAAAACACGGCTCAGTTAAACGGTTGTATCGTCTATGAGCGTTTCAAAATCCACGTTATTCGCAGACGAGCACTGCCAGGTTTCTCCCTCTTCAGGCCAAGTATGACGCCGCTGCCTCAGCCCCAGCTCTTGATAGGGCTGTGTCTCGGGAACCGGCCCAGCGCTGCACCTGCCGGCCTCGAGCTTCCACTGGGTCCCTTCCCCCGGGCAGGGAGGAGATCCCCGGCTGACCCCCGGAAGCCTACAGCCCACACGCTGCGGCTCACGGGGGGGGTCTCACCGGAGAGCCCTGCGTGACACACCTCGGCCCTGCCGGCCGCGCCTTCACATTCAGCTCCAGCCGGCCTTGGTGCTCCGAAGGCGGCCTCGACTGTGTCCCCCTCCCACCCTTCTCCGTGCTGTCTTCGGTCCTTATCTGCCGACGGCCCAGCACACAGAGAGGTAAAGCACGTCCCGCCACAAGCGCGGGCCGCTCTTTCAGGCGGACTGACGGGCACTATCCTGGCCTGCGCCGGCCCCCCCGAGAGAGCGGCCCGCCGAGCGCCCAGGGACCCCACCCGGAAGGGCCGCACTCCGCACCCGCAGGACCCGCTGTCGGCCCGGCGGCCGTCCCCACAGCCGGGGCGGCGGGAAGGGAGCGGGAGAGCCGCGCCTCAGGCCGCGGGGAAAGGCCGGCGGGAAGAGCGAGCCACCCGCCCCGCACTCACATGCCAGATGGCGAAGAAGATGAGCGCGGCGGTGAGCAGCAGCGCCAGCATGTAGCAGAAGGCGGCGAACGTGAAGGCCATGGCGGCAGGGCCGGGCGAACCGCGGCGGGCTGGGCGCAGCGCGGGGAGAGCCGGGAGCGGGCATCCACCGCCGGCAGGGGCCGCCCGCCACGCCACGCCCCGCGGCGGCGCCCTCTGTCGGGGACCGCCGGCACCGCCGCCGTAGCCGCGGGGCCCGTGTGAGCGCGGACCCGCCCAGCGGCCGGGCTGGACGTGGCGGCGGGTAAAGAGCGGGAGGCGGCGGTGGCGGTGGCGGTGGCGGTGACCGAGGGCGTTGCCTGGCGCCTGTGAGGGGAGGAGGGAAGTGCGTGCCCCTGGGGCATAGAGCCCCGCATCGGTACCACCTGGAGCCTGCCGGCAGGAAATGGATAGAGATTAAGGTAGACTGCACATCGATTTCTGCGTAGGTTTAGACTCGATACAAGGCAGAAGCTCTTCCCTGTGAGGGTGCTGAGGCGCTGGCACAGGTTGCCCAGAGAAGCTGTCGCTGCCCCATCCCCAGCAGTGTTCAAGGCCAGGTTGGACAGGGCTTGGAGCAATCTGGTCTAGTGGAAGGTGTCCGTGCCCATGGCAGGGGTGTGGAACTGGATGAGCTTTAGGTCCCTTCCAACCCAAACCACCCTGTGACTCTGCGATTTTCCTTCTGCAGGGCCAGATAAAAGAAATTTCAGCTTTAAGTAGGGATATCTCATGGTAATGGACAATCTGGGTAATTGCTGCAGCCATTTCCTCCAGACAAACAGCACTAGTAATGGGGGTTGGCCTACATGACCTTTGAAGGTCCTTTCCAACCCAAACTATTCTATGATTTCCATAAAACTAATAGCTGCCAAATAGTATTTTCCAGTGACATCTGCCAGAAAGCTTTACACACAGTAATTGAGTGTCACAAGGAGAGATGAGCAGAAGCTTTATGTCCTTCACCAAAATAAGAGGGAAAAGTGTAGCAAACGAGTTGTCTTTGGGAAATCAGTTGTTGCGAACATAAAATTGATCTTTCAGTATAAAATCACTTACCCACAAAATACTCCCATAAAACCTCCATGGTGTTATTATGAACTTCAACTGAAACCTAGAAAAGAGACCTGAAAATTAACCTTAGTGAATATTAATTAAAAGGTAAGAAAATAAAGGAGATGTGGCTCTGGCAGTGCATCACAGCCACCCTCCAACACTCCTTATCCCTTGCTCCTGAGGAATGAGTTAGAAAACACAGGAGACCAAAGCCTTCCTCTGCAATAAGCTATTTTTGTACAGACAACTTAACCAAATGCTTCATTAGGATGTACTTATTAGCATAGTTCATTTACTACCTCGAGAAGACTCCAGCTGCATAGACCACTTATTCCCAAGCCCATCTGACAGGACTCTGCTGGAAGACCTGATGTTCTGTGGCCAAACTCCTGGTTTCAGGCTGTTCCTAAGCAGTCCAAGGAGGGTCATTTGCATCAGAAGAGCAACAGAAGATGAAGATGTGTGTAAACATCCTGCTATAACTTGGAATTGGGTAGTGCTGCTTTTCAATCGCAATATGGAAACCAGCCATTTGATCCATTTGAGGTAGATACTCAGTTACAAAGACACCCAGATGTAGTGACCATAGCTGCCTGAACTGTTACACCTAGAGCCTTGCTGACAAGCCAAAGCCCTGCAGAATTAGAGGTGTTTTGGCACTAAGCCTTTTAATACTTCTCAAGAAAGAGACCTGGCTCCCCACAAGACCCATAAGAAGCCACCAGGTTCACATGTAACACAGAAGTTTGTCCTTCAAGACACATAAATGTGCAGTAAGGACTCTACACAGGATTAGGCCAAGCCAATGTTCATGTAGCACCTGGGCAGGCCAGCACCACACTGTCAGTGGCTGTTCGAACACACAAGTCATTGCAGCAGTAAGATTTCCTTCCCAGCACTCCAGCTGGTTGGTTTGGACTGGGATGTTATGATCTGAATTAGCTGAAACAGGGGAAAAAAAAGGGAAACAATCTGTTCTGTACCTGAATAAGCAATGGGGTTTCATTCAGCATTCTTTTACAACAGAACATTGTGCAACAGGGATGTGTAGTATCAGAAATAAAAAGGTGTGTCAGCCATGTACTTGCATTTGCAATATTGGCTCTGCCTCAAGGAATGTGACATTTTATTGGCTCTGATGCTTGCATGCCATTCAACTGCAATTATCTTGTCAGGAGAAATGGAAGGCAGCTGTAATCTCGTGCAACACAGATCTGTTCACTGAAGGATTTCTTGTGTTATAGATTGTCTTTTTAAGATAACACGAAGGAAATTAAAAGTAAATTCTATAGAAAAGGGTCTAATCAATTCTCGTTCATTTATTTGGGATCTTAAACAATGTTTCTCAAATACAATCAAATAAAATCAAATCAATAAACTGAGTACTTGGATTAAACTTTGTAAACAATGTAAGGAAGACACAGTGGAGATCTGGCGATGGCCTACAGCCTTTAATGCACTGTCCTTTTATCCTGGATTCATTGAGTTTAATCCTGATTGGAATCCCAAGGGAAAATGTCAGTGTCTGTTCACTTCATCTTAAATCCTTCTCAAGTATTTTTCCTTGTCAGAAAACAGTCATATCATCAGTCATAATTCAGCACGTTACAGTCAGTTCATAGGGAAGATTTAGGTGAAGAAAGAAGACTCCGGCAGGTCATGACAGCAGTGCTCTGGCAGAGAGGTGTGAGAAAAGGTTACAGAGCAATATCTCTGAATTATCATGGTAGAAATGCCTGGGTTAATGACATCTGTTGACATTAAAAATAATATCCCTGGAAAACAGTCATTTCAGTTACAAGTATCGGGGAAGAATCTAATACTGTTGAACTCAGTAATAAAAATCCTGCTGATTTCAATAAGGATTTCACTTCCTGGGTGTTCAAGAGAGGAAAATCTGAGTGTTTACCTGCAATCCAGTAGAGACTCCAAGTACCTGTGACATAGTGTGACAGAGGTCACCTTTCTGCACACCTTTTTGATACACATCAGAAGGAGCAATGCCATCTCCGCACCCGCTTACCTCACATCTGCGCCAACAGACAGCAGGGGGGAGGATGGTGGTTCACTGATCAGTCCTTAGCAGAGTGAAAAGATCCCTGGACTTGCAAGCTTCCTTCCCAAACCAGCAAGTATCCTTCCCTGTTGCACTCAATAACTCATCTTTAGAATCCCTGGTTCGACTCTACCATTATGTATACGACCACGTAAACAAACTGATGTTATAAATTCATTTCCAGGTGAAAGTAAGTCTCAAGGGAAACCAGAATCACATTTAAAATTCAATTTCAGAACACAGACACTGCCAGGCATCTCACCACATCTCATTATGGAATCCACTTGTGGCCTCAATCCCCCTGACATTTACTGCCACATGGCAACAGTTTTCTTTTAATACTGAATACTCAACCTGTTGTTTTAATAATAACAGGCTTTGTTTTTCTCTTTCTGTGTTGTTGATACCTATCTGTACAATTCTGAGCCCACAGCATAATACCAGCCTGTGATCAGGCAAAGGGACCAATAACTGTTTTTTCAAGAACTATTTTAGAATGCGTTTCAGGAGGTGGCTGCTCATTAACAAAGTAAGAGGGGGATTTTCCAAGACATTCTGTGTTCGCCTGTAGCAGTGATGACTCTGAAAATACCACCCTTAGTGTCTAACTCTTCAAAGAACAACTTTAAATTCCCATCCAAATATAAACCAGTGCAGCAGTGTCAGCCTGAATAAACAGAAGAGGAAGCCATAGTAGTGGTGTTTTAAGATGGCATCATGTTTGGTACTGAGTGATGACACCTAAAAAGGTCTCCCTCATTAATTATCTCAATTGTTGCAGCAGAAACCCCATCACTGCTGGATATGGCGGGAATATTGCAACAAGGTACTCACGGGGACAAATGAGGCATTCAGTCCTCTGCCAGACATAACTTCATTATTGCTTCTGCCCAAAAGGAGGGACGATACATGCAACTTCTGCTTTGTATCGTAAAACCCATGAGCTGTTCAGGGGTTGGTGTCTTGTCAACAGCCAGAAGACACAGCCCAGTTACCACATGTCCTGGCTTCAGCTGTAGCAGTTATTTTTCTTCTTCCTCATAGTTGGTGCAATGCTGTGGTTTTGATTTTAGCCTCTGAATAGTGCTGATAACACACCAGTGTTTTAGTTGTTGCTAAGTAATGCTTACCCCTATCAAGGACTTTCCAGTCTCTCATGCTCTGCCAGTGAAGAGGGGCACAAGAAGCCAGGAGGGAGCAGAGACAGGACACCTGACCCAAACTAGCCAAAGGGGTGTTCCACATCACAGCACATCATGCCCAGTATAGAAACTGGGGGGAGCTACCTGGAAGGGACAGATCATTGCTGAGGTCAGGCTGGGTATCAGTCAGTGGGTGGTGAGCAGTTGTATTGTGCATCACTATTGTTTTATTTTCCTTTTCCCTTTTTAGTTTTGTATTCTCTCCCCTTCATCATTATTATTATTGGTGGTAGTAGTAGTGGTGGTGGTTTTGCATTATACCTTAGTTACTGGACTGTTCTTATCTCAACCCGTGGGGTTCAATTCTCCTCCCCATCCTTCCAGGAGTGGGGGGGGGAAGAAAAGGGGGAGGGAGCAAGTGGCTGCATAGTTCAGAGTTACCAGCTGGGCTTAAACCATGACACCACAACCTCATGCTTCCCCAAGCTGCTCTTTTGGTCCCAGCAGGTCTGCAGCATGCTTGAAGATTTGTGAGGGAGAATAAAGAGTCAACACGGGATGCAGTTGGCTTTGGTCTCCTTGTTCTGCCATAGACAACCCATGTGGCTTTGAGTTTGGCATCTTCAGGCCCAATGTATATTTACACACTTAAATCACAGTAAATAGTATTTCAAAAGGCTTCATCTACATCTAAATTCCCTTACAAATCTTGCTTTTCATCTCTCCAGCTATATCTGTATTATCAAATCATCTCACAGCTCTGTCAGTGCTAGAAATCCACCTCCTTGGTTGTTCTTAAGGTTTAAATCTTAAGAATCCTGCCACATATTGGGGCTCTATGTCTGCATGAGTTCTCTCATCAGTAACCACATGCAGAGGGACCAGCATGGATGGCAGGCTCACCCATCACACCTGCCC